TTCTAGGTGTGCTTCTTGGGAGTCATGGTCTTCACTGGTTGGTCAGTGTCAGAACAGGGGATCCTTAGTCATTGCACCTGTTCCTAAACAAATATCACCTGCCTGGTTTTGCTGCTTTTCTGGGTCTGGACCTGAAATACAACTGAAGCCTAGTGCTATTTCTAGGGAGGTAACCTTCTGTATCTTCTGCAAATTGCTCCGTCAATAGTTTGTTCAGCTATCTGCCTCAGTTTCCCTATTCTATTTGTCCTGGCTTACTGGCCTGTTTCACTATCATAAGGTCCTGGGCCTTGTTCAGTACAATCAAATAAAATTCCATGTATAATGCAGTTGTAGGGAGAAATCCTCTCTACATCTTTTGCATTTTGTACCAAGTACACTGAAGTTAGGAAATAACGGTGTACTTGTTCCTACCAATTAATTAAAATACAAAGAAAGTCTTAAGCACCTCAATGGCAGACTAGAGGTCTTTTGGGGAATAGTTGTGTCAGAGAAGGAGGGCTCTGCAGAGATAATAGCAATACACAAAAAGAGTCCCATGGAAAGAGGCCCTCAGCTTTGCCCAGCCTGTGAGGTGTAGTACAAAGGGCACAGGCTCTGAAATCACACTAGAGTTCAAATCCCTGTGTTGCGACTACCTGTTATTTACAATTATAGTAGTACCTCCCTTACCCAGGGTTTTGATTTTCCCTTTCCGATTTCTGTTAACAGCACCAATGGTAGCCTGAAAATATTAAATGGAAAACTGCAGAAATGATTTATAAGTTTTAAATTGTGTCCTTATGTGCACTGTTCTGAGTAGCATGATGAAATCTTCCACCATCCCCCTCCAGGTGTGAATCATCCCTTTGTCTGGAGTATTCACACTGAATACCCTCCCTGCCCTAGTCATTTAGTAGCCATCTCGATGATCAGTTCAACTATCTCAAGTGCTTCCCTTCAAGTAAACTTTAACTTAATAATGGCCCCAAAGCACAAGAGTAGTTTAAACTTTACTACAAGTATGTATGTAGAGGGGAAAACACTATATATAGGATTAGGCACTGTCTGTGCTTTCAGGCATCCGCTGGGGGGTCTTGGAATGTATCCCCCCCAGATAAGTGGGGACTACTGTACTGGATTTCAGTTGCTTCATCTATAAAAGGAGGCAACAAGGAGGACTGTTCTTTGGATTCCAGATCAGAGTTCATGACACAAAGCAGGTGTTTCATAAAGAGCAAGTTATTGAGACCACCAGAGAGAACATCTAGGGGGATGCTCGGCCAAAGAGAACAGTATGGTCTGGGGCGGGTGACAAGTGACTTCAACCTACAAGTTTCTCCCTCATAGACCATACGCACTCCCTCTCCCCCTTTCCTCATTTAACCTCTGCTCAGCCAGCGCCAAACTCTCCGCGTAACCGCTGACTCAGGGAAACTAGGAACGGCGTGACTATCAGGGAAATATATATTTTCCTCCTCTCCTGCAGTTCCCAAGACCGACGAATCTGAAATGGCTGCTGCAACTAGCAGCAGCAGCAGCAGCAGCAGCTGCCAGGGGGTCAGGATTGACCAACTGAGACTTTGCCCCCGAAGCACCCCTCCTCGGACTGACCTCTAGCACAGAGCCCGCACAAAGTGCTGAGTCACGGGGAGGCGGTGCCTCGCGCCCGGAGGCGGGCCCGGTGCAGTCACGTGGCGGGCGCTGTATCACAACAACCTCGCGGCGTGCAGCGCCCGCGGCCCGCGCCGCTTCCTCCCGCGACAGACGCGCTTTCCGAGCATGCTCAGCTCAGCCGCGGGCTTGCGCGGAGTACCCAGCCGCCGTGCTCCTGGTTCCGGGTTTTCCCGGAGGCCGCCCCGGGTGCTAGGAGCCCAGGATGCGCTGTCCGCACCACCACTGTCAGGGCTTGGTTCTGGCGGAGGGGTCTTGATTTTTCCGCAGAAGAAATAACCAGGAATCGCCTTTGGGCAAGGCCAAGGGGAGAGCTGATTCTGCAAGATATGAGCTCTTTCTTTCCCCTTTAATGAACGTTAAGGCCCTAAACGATCTGTCCAGGACTGTCTGCTGAAAATCCACTTCCAGATTCGAAACCCAGTCCTGGTTGCAATTTACTGAATGACATCAAGAAGTAACCCTACAAGTGCAAAACACTGTCAAACAGAGGGAAATCACTGTTGTTGAATATGACTTTCGTTGACCTGTGGTGGGTTTCTTTAACCCTTGTAACAGTAATCGGCAAAGGCACTGTAGAGGTCATGGTTTAAATTTTACATAACTACCAAGTGGTGTCACCACACTGCACCCAATTTGGGATTGTCTAGAGCCCAGGAGCTCCCTCTTTGGATTATGGTTTGGAGTTTGGGGGCAGGATTGGAGTGGCGGCACCCTTCTGTGAGAATCAACCGGAATCCGAGACCAAGTGACAAATTATAGCACTAACTTTCACTACATTCAGTATCATGCAAAGCATTGGCTAGATTAGAACTTTCTCTTCCTACTCCCAACCCTGTCATTGCTTCCTTTTTAAAACGAAACACTTTCCCCAGAGACCAGCTTTACCATATTGTGAGGAAATAAAGCAGGTGTACGGGAAAGTGTATATTTTGCAAAGTGTAGATGCCTACACCTGCGCTGTTGTTTTTGTTTTTTTTTCTTTATTGGTTTTAGAGAGAGAGGAAGGGAGAGGGAGAGAGAGAGAGAAACATCTATGAGAGAGAACATCAATTGGTGGTTTTCTGCATGCCCCCCACTGGGGACTGGGCCCACAACCTGGGCAGGTGTCCTGACTGATGGAACTGGTAGACACTTAACCACTGGCTGTGCCACCTGTGCTGTTTTAATTAAGTGGAATGCAAGCCACCTATGTAATCTAAAAATTTCCATTAGCTACCATTAAACACTAAAAAGAAACAGGTGAATTAATTTAAGCACTATATTTTATCTTGACATACAAAATACTAGTATAGCAACATAATATAAACTTATTAATGAGATATTTACATTTTTTTGTACTAAGTCTTTGAATTGGGTGTATGCATTACACTCACAGCACATTTCCCAGGTCACTTAAATTTCACTGGAAACACTTGATCTGTGTTTAGATTTCATAAAATGAACAGATGAAAAAGTGGATTCACATTCCCAACCTGTTCCAAATTTACTTAAAAGTTTTCTAGCAACCAAATGGAATATCAGTTTTGAAAGTTATATTTAAGTGGATTTAAATAAAACTAAAATTCAGTATCTCAGTTAAATTAACCATGTTTCAAACACTCTGTAGCTACATGTGGTGGATGGTATTGGGTTGAACAGTGCAGGTCTATGCAAATGTGCAGTGAGATTATGAGAATAACAAAATAATCCTTTGGATGCCTCACCTGTATTCCAAACAATGACCAACACTGTCCCTTACCCTAGCCCTCACACTTACTTGCCTTCCACAGGAAGCAAACATTTATGCAGAGCATTTTTCTAGAATTAAAGATACAAAGGCATAAATCATCTCTATCCCAGAGGAAGGCACTATCTAGTGTGGAGATATTTATTTTTAAATGATTCTGTCATAACATAGAAATACAGGCATATACAAATGCAACTAAAATATAGGGAGGAGTATCTGAATCTCCAAGGATGAAAAGGAATGCTTCAGGTGGTGAATTTTAAGCAGAAAAATACAACAGAAAGCCAGGACCACACAGGTCTGGAGAGACTGGTGAGGAGAGTACAAGGAAGAGTAGGGGCAGTAGGTGAGGATGCTAACTCAGCTGTGGATTAATTAGAATAAGGCTTGGTTTCTAGCCTGGAGTGCAGCTGGGGATTGAAACATCATCCCCTGAGCTTCAAACACTGCCACACTCTGCCCCCACTCCCCACCCCATACAATACACATACACTGCTGTGGAAATTACAGCTAAATTTGGGGTATCCATGTCCCCAACCCTTGAGATGGGCACATCCAATATGAAGGGTGTGGGAGAAGAGACTCCTATCATACATCCACTCAGCAGTTAATAAGTGCTTTTTAAATGTTAACTTTGTAGTGTGAGGGAAATAGGCACAATAAATACACTTTCTGGTCTCAGTACATGTACGATCTAGTTGCTGCCACTTTTTCCTTGATCTGTCATGTCATTGCTCTGTCAACACATTTATTGAACAATCATTTGTGGTGAGGTGCCTCATTTCTTCCCTTTTCTGCCAGGATAGGGCCAATCCCAGCTGTTTCATATACCTTCTACCCCCATGGTAAAGCCCACATGGAACATCATTTTAATCACTTAATGGATGACTCTTAGGCTTAGACTGGGTATGTACTTTTGGAGGTGATTCCTTCAAATGATCCATTTGGAGATAATGACAAAGCCCCTTTTGTTGCAATAAATGGTGTCTGTCATCCAAAGAATGTATGTCATCAAATAGTTCAGAGAATACACAAATACTTGTAATACATTTCACATGTCTAAAAACTTCGAGACAATTCCTCTTAATAACCAGGTCATTTATTGACCATTAACTCTATGCACCTCTGCATTGTGCACATTCTTACAACAGGCATAAAAGATGGAATAAGTATAATTTTGTATAGTGTGGAAATAACTTGCCCAAGGTCTGACAGTCAGTAAATGGTGGAGACTAGAACATGTGTTTCACCTGACTCCCCAAGTTAATATTTTTCTTGCCATAACCCTGCTGTTCTCACCCCCCTCTCACCTAAAAAGTAATCTGGTAGGTTCTTCATTAATTGAAATACTCAACCAGAGTTGATCTTTTTGGGTAAGAGAAAACGGAAGGCCTGCGGGCCCAAAGCGCCCCCCCTCCCCCGCCTTGACAGACAGACCACACTTCCCGCCCCCGGTGAGCGCCTTCCCGCTGACTCCGCCCTAACCACGCCTGCGCACGCCTCCTCTGCAGCCCGCTTTGGCCTCTTCCGGCGCTCAGCCACGCCTCCTCCCCTGCACCGCCTCCGTTCCCCGCCCCCAGCCCGTAGTTTATAAGATCCGGAGCGACGGATTGTGCCCAGGAAGGGCGAGCGAGCGGGTAAAAGGACTGGGCATGCTCCGCGGCGGCGCAGGTTTTGGTCACAAGTAGGAAGAAGCCAGTGCACGACACCGGCAAAGAGAAGCGGGAGCTGCGGCACCGCGGTTGTGAGGTCCGTCGCCGCCTCCTCGGAGCAGGAGCGGGGCGGGAGCTCAAGCGGAAGAGGGACAAGGCTGCCGAGCCGAGAGCCGCCCAGCCTGCCCTCCTGTCCTTTGCCTCTGAGTCCGCGAGGTGCGCCGCCGGTACCCCTGGGTCGGTTACCTGGGCGGTGAGGACCCCGCGCCGGGGAGCCGGAACAGACCGGACCCTCCCTCTGCTGACTGCGGCCCGAGGGCGCCCCCCTCGGGCGGAGCAGCTCCCGCCGCCGCAACCTCCCGCGAGCCGCTAAGTGTCCAGCTCGCGCCCCGCGCCGGGAGCGTGCGGCCGCCGTCAGCCTCGAGGAGAAGGAGGAGGGGGCGGCCATGGGGCTGCTGTCCCAAGGCTCGCCGCTGAGCTGGGAGGAGACCAAGCGCCACGCCGACCACGTGCGACGGCACGGGATCCTCCAGTTCCTGCACATCTACCACGCCGTCAAGGACCGGCACAAGGACGTGCTCAAGTGGGGCGATGAGGTGAGCGCCGGAGACCTGTCCCTCTGGGCCCCCCTGTCAGGCCACCCCGCGCCGCCTTTGTTTGACAAGGCCCTACCTGCGACCCTGGCGCCCGGCCCCCGGGCCCCACGGCAGTCCGCGTCCTGCACTGCGCCCCGAGGGTCCCCGGGCGCCTCCCCGCCCTCCCCCGGTGGGCGTCCAGAATTGTCTGGGGCGTGGGGCCCTGCTCTGAACCCTCTGGCCAGGCTGCCCTCCCGTTCATTCATTCATTTGGGGTTTTCTCCTTCATTAAGCAAATGTGGATTGGGCAATAGTGTGACATTTGGTGCTTCGGGAATTTGCAGTTTCTTACACTTACCTGCCGGCCGCCTTTCGCGACCCACCGTCCCATCTCAATATGCGCTTTTGCTGTTAATATGAAAGGAAAGTTGTTTTAGGAAGGAAGGCCGGTCGCTATTAGGAATCAGGTCTAAAGGATGTTCACTTCTGCCCCTCCCCATTCCAGTTATCTTTAAAACCCCTATTTCTTCATCAATCCCCCGTCACAAACACACACACTTTATAGGGATAAATTGAAACTGAACTTTATTTGCCCCTAAAAAGGAGGAACCTTCCCAGCCCTGTTAGATTCTAACTCTGAACTCTTAGCGCTTCATAATTGGGATTTGTTAGTACCTCTCCATGGTGTAAATCCAGCATCTAAACTTTACAAATCAGTGCTTCAACATATGTTCTGCCTAGAGATGAAATATCTCTGGATTCTCATTTTATTGTACCATTGTTTAATTGGAATGATCTGGAAAGTATTGCCTCCTGTTAGAGTTACATTCTTTTCTGCCAAAGCATTTTGTGCCCTCCCGTCCCATTTTAAAAAATCACAGGTATATTCAGGTCAGATAATTAAATGACTTCTTGAAGAGTCCATTTATATGTTTTGTGTTTATCATTTGCCTTCCATGGCTTGGTCAGGTGTAAATGCTTTATCTTCTAGGCATTGTTAATCACTCTTGACTGAAGCGTCAAGGTGCTGCTTCACCAGTACAGAATCTCTTCCTGCAAAAAGTTAGGTTTTCTTTTTCTAAGATTGGAACATAATTCTACCTCTTGCAGTTAAAGAATTGTGCTGTTTTAAGTTTGAAAAGTGTAATGATCAGTAATTCACATTTATACTTTAAGTGATTTCGTTTCAGATGGAAAAGAGATATGCTATGTTTGATGATAATTATTCAGTTTAAATCTAAAGTCCATTGTTTCTTTATAACATCTGACTTTTTATGTTCATTTGTATACTGTGTGTAGTTTATAATCTAACTTCTCTATATTCCTAGATTTTCTTCTTTCCGGGACTTTTATAAAAATGGAGTTGGATGAAGAATATTAATTTATCATACATAGTAAAGAATATTATGTCAAACTTTTGAGTTATTTATTTGAGGTGGTGTGTATTGGTCATATGTAAATTATTTCTTACCATGGTTGCAGTTAAGACTTTGAAAGCCAGTCTCAGATTTATCATGGAAGGCTTCCTTGGTAAGATGAGCCTTTGAAACAGAGCAGCAGAGTAGTTAACTACTCCAGTGTTAACACTAATCCTTACACATAGTTGGAATTCACTATCATATTTGCCAAATAGAAGTCTTCCAGCAGGGGCAGACATCTAGAAAGCTTGTTTTTTGCAGAAGCCTTGGGCAATAATTGAGAAACAGGTTGGGAAGATAAGAGTGGAGAAGGGTGTGGTGGGTAGTATGGCCCCAGAGATGAAGAATAGCCTTGGCAGACAGAAAGTGGTGTTTGGGATGCGATATGTTGGACAGTGTTAATGTGATACCAAAATATTGCCCTTCATGGGGAGGTTTTGGTGGTGTACTTATGGGGCCATGGATTTGGATTAAAAAAGCAAAAAAAGTGCCTTGAAACTGTGTAAGGAGAGCCTGCCACTTTAGAAATGCTCGCTCAGCCCTAGTTATTAGGACAGTATTTCTCTCTGGTAGTATTTAATCGGAAAGAACCCTGGATCTGGAGTGGCACTTGTGTTGTATTCCAACTGCCTGTGTGATTCTGAGCCTCGGCTTCCTCATTGGCAAGGGAAAGAGTTGGATGCTCTTTCCCTTCCAGCTTTTACAGTTTAAGTAGTGTGAATAAATTTTTAAATAATGTACATCTTTCTAACTAGAATGTTAGTCTTTGAAATTCACCTGGAGATAATCTTTTGACTGCTGAGTAAAGAGAAGGCTGTCACCAATTGCTATGGTAAAAATGGATTGTGCATTTTTTTTTTTTAACCTTCAGAGTGACAGGTCCTAACCCTTGCCACCATTTATTATGCTATTTCTCTGGGAAATAGAAGTTCTAACTCCTAGGTGCCAGGAACTCATAGGTTCATTTTGCTCCAGGATGGGGAGGGAGAGGGGCCTGTAAAGGGGCCTGTAAGATGGGTGTTCCTGGGTGCCCTATTGCTGCTATTGGAGGTATGCAAAAAAGTAAGCATGTCTCTCTTCACAACTCACACACAACTTTTCAGGTGCAGATTTTGTTTATAACTTGGAGTTTGCACATTTAAAGACAAACCTAGGAAGTCTGTGCTGCAAATGTGGCAATAATACAACTCTTGGATTTTTCCTAATAATCACTCTAGTGTTAGCTACCTGCCCGGCCTTTGCAGCTATTTGGTTGCAGAGGCATTATCAGAATTGAAATCTGTCTGACTCAGGGTCCATTTCTTAAAGACATTATACCAGGTTTTGGATTATTTACAATGTATGAGATTTCATCAAATCTCCATTTACAGAGTTCAAACTCTACAGGTTACAGAAATGCCAGAACACAACATTTAAAAATACATTTTTATTGATTTTAGAGAGAGAGGAAGGGAGAGGGAGAGAGAGTTAGAAACATGGATGAGAGAGACACATCAACATTTATCAGCTGCCTCCTGCATGCCTCCTACTGGGGATCAAGCCCAAAACCTGGGCATGTGCCCTTATCTGGAATCGAACCAGCAACCTCTTGGTGCATGGGTGGAAGCTCAAGCACTGAGCCATGCCAACCAGGCCAGAACACAACATTCAAAAGCAAACATAATTTTTCTAAAGTTTTTAATCCAATGTAGAATGGCTCTCAAAGGCAGGAAGGTAAATTGTCCTCTAGTCAGGGAAAAGTCTGTGTGAACTTTGAGAGGAATAGATAGATATGTCTTTGATGTTTATGAGTGTGTTCTTAACATACCCAACACACAACTAATAAAACTGAGGTGGGATTTAAGGGCTGGCATATCATCTATTAATTTTGAACTACAGATTTGCCTGTGTAGGTTAAGAGCGCTTAAGTGATTATTTAGAAAATGCATAGCATGTCAGTATTTAAGGTTATGATCCTATAACAAAAATAAAATGATCCTCAGCTGTAAATCTAGACTAGACAAAAGCATAGTCATTTTAGTCTAATGAAAGGTTTTGTGTAGCTTTGGACCAATTACTTAATCTCTCTTAACCTCATTTTTGTCATCTATTAAATAGAGACAATAATACCTTATAGGGTTGTTAAGATTAAATGAGAAAATGTTGATGAAATAGTTCATAAGTGAGAGTCTAGCCTTTTTTTTTTTTCTTTTTCATTTATCTTCAGATAGAGTGGGAGGGGAGAGAGTGGGGAAAGAGAGAAACATCAATGTGAGAGACACATCGACTGGCCGCCACCCACACGACCCAGGGCTGGGGACAAACAACAACTGAGGTACGCGTCCTCAGTGGGAACTGAACCCAGGACTCTGTGGGCCGCAGGCCGACGCTCCAACCACTGAGCCAAACTGGCCGGGGCAAGAGAGTCTAGCCTTTTAAGACTCATAAATGCTAACTTAAACTGTTTACTTCATAAAATTTTAATATCCAGTATATCTCATTTAAATTAGAATAGTCATTGGGAAAGGAGGCGTTCCGTGTATGTAGATTTTTAAAAACATTGACTTCTTAGAATAAAGTATTGAGCACAAATTAATTATTTCTTGATAGTCATTGTGAAGATTTTGGGTTTGTGGCATAGTGAGCAAAGTTGTTGCATCTTTCTCTTTCTCAGTTGTCACTGTGGATATTAGTTGAATAGCATTCACTGACATGTGCCTAAAATGAAGGAAAAAAAGAGTGAAACACGGTTGGAGCCTTCTGGTGATGGTTTTGTTGTTGTTTTCAAAATTACCTTTTGTATCGAGATTCATTTTTGAAAGTTAGGAAACCAGTTTATTGACCCTATGTTTATATTAAGGATTGAGGCTGAGAATTTAAAGCGTAAATGTGAGCTTGACTACTACTTCCAGGGTAAATCTCAGTTTTTTGCTGTTCATTTTGTGTTACTTTTGCATGGTCTTGCTTTTTAAAACCAATTTCATTGAATTATAATTTACGTATAGAAATATGCACCCATTGCCAAGGCGGTTGGAGGGTTGGAGCGTAAGCCCGCAGACCAATAAATTGTGGGTTTGAGTTCGGTCAAGGGCACATACCTCAGTTGCCCGTGGTTGCATTTGGTCTCTGGCCCTGGTCAGGGCCCTGCGGGAGGCAACCAGTAGATGTGTGTCTCTCACTTCGATGTTTCTCTCTCTGTCCCCCTCTCCCCCCTCCCTCCCACTCTATCTGATGCTAAACAGAAAAATGTCCTTGGGTAAGGATTTAAAAAAATAATATGCACCCATTTTAAATGTATAATATAGTTCAATGACTTTTAACAAGTATATGTAACCAGATATCTGCCAAAACAGTTAAAATTAAAAACATAAAACACTTGTGTATATATAACACTTCTGTCATCCTCCAGAAGCTCCCGTTTTCCTTTACAGATGTTCTTGAGTTTATGAGACAAAGAAATACAGCACTTCAGTGATTCTGATTCTTTGTACACCACCTTTGGGAAGCTGCTCTAAGAATGTGTGGCTGTTAATTAGATGAAGAGAAGGGAAGGCATTCTAGGCAAAAGAACAATGTAATGAAGGCAGAAAGGTGTATTACTGATGTTGCTGTTATTACTGGATG